GCATGCAAAGGCCGGCACACCTCAAAGGGACCACATATTATTATGTCTTAAACATAAAGTAATAAAACCACACTGAAAAAAAATAACAATGTCTCCAACATGAATACAAGAAAAAGACCAAACTGAAAGAGAATAACAATGTCTCAACCTAAAATACAACAAGAAAACCGCACTAAAAGGAAATGAGGAATGGAAATCTAAGTGGAGGATCCTAGCCCATGTTCAAACTTAAGCCAATTGAGCTTCACCTCAGGTTCCTTAAAAGCCATAAATGTGTCTCTCTTACACTTGTCTAACAACAAGTGAACCGAAAAGAAATACAACTCGCTTCCAATTTGTAATCCTGGTAATGAATCTAGAACTTCAACAACTTTTACCATGCTACAGTTTCCAGTGTTAGATTGCGCAATCAATGATCCAGTACTTCTACTCTCAACTATATCGACAAGGCGATCAATTTGTTGAGACAATTTAGCAGCCCTTCCAACCTTCACATTTCCTTTTCCTTTCTTGACTTTCTTTTGTCTCTCATTTGTCTCAATTGGCCTCTTATTCTTACGGGCTTGTGCCAATTCACTTCGGATTGGTTCACCTGACTCACCACTACTCTCAAGTTGTTCAGGTAGACTAGATTTATCATTTTCACCTTTATCAGACTCACATGGCACTTGTCCAGAAGATGGTGTCCAAGCATACACTCCTGTGGCCACAATATTCATGAACATCCTATTTAACTTTTCTTCTAACAGTGGTTCAATTCCCCGAGTGCGAAACCTCGCTGCGTTGGGATGAATCTGCAAGAGCATTTGAAAAAATTAAACCTGCCTAGTCCAATACTAGAATAAAGAATGACAAATCCTATAATTCTGTATACCTGCAATTTATTATGCCACCATTCCTCAAATGCATCAATAGTATTCTTCTTAATGTTCCAACCTAGACCAGTTTCTTTACCAATAAGTTCCTTCCAAAGCTTCCAATCATTCTTCAAAGCATCCCATTTATTCTTCAATTGTTGTCTTTTATATACTCGTTTGGTTGCTTCATTAAATTTCTGAATTAAATTTTCCCATCCAACTTTATCCAAATGAGTTCCAGGATGTCGTCCAGCTTCCACCTCTATAATACACAAATCACAAAATAGATCCACATTCTCGGGGTCCCATATTGCTTTACCTTGTGGTATACTACCCTCCATTTGAGAATTGATAACTGAAAGTCTAAAACAATGTAAGGCTTCATGCTTTTATTTACAAAAACAATAATAAGGGTAATACTAACCTTATTTCCAATTCAAACACTCACTCAATAGCCAAGCTAATCATAGCTTCTACTCCTAGATACTTCACCTAAAAATTGCTAATCAATAATAGAATGCTAATTCGATTTACAACAATTGTGCCTAATGATCACTTTCTCTTAATTCTTATTCATGGAATGCATCCAGAAACACAACTTTGGGCCTAGAAACACGACTTGAGATTCTTCTTGGAAAGAGGAAGAAAATCAAAAGAACGGGAAAGAATCCAACCCAGAAAAACACAACAAGAAACGTTAAATTTTGGTGCTTCTCTCCTAGTATTTTCTTTCTCATTATGGATTAATAATTGTAGCATATTATGTACTTAGGAAAAAAAGTAGCATATTGAAACGGGAAAGGAAAGAGTAAATTAAGGGAATGGCAAAATGGATAAACATCAATAACTGAAAATCTTGAAAAATGACATGAACCATGAATACAATACATCAAAGGAGGGTAATGTCACATATGGAAAACAAACGACAAGAGCAAACAGCAACAAACGAGAACAATGAGTACAAAATGTACATTACACCGAAAGCATAAACAATATTCCAGACTTCTACTCAATTCAAGCATATGCATCAGCCAAGCTTTATACAAAATGCTTTAACTTAACATATGAGTGCTAAAACAATCAATTCCCGAGCACTTACAAAGGAACTTTCAACAATGTGCAAGTACTTGTGCTAAAACAAGCATAAACTTAATTTTTTTTTCCCGTTGATGCTGATTCTGTTAGTGGCCCATTTCAATTTCTTGGTTAGGTGTTGAGGAACTTTCAACAATGTATAAAATTTATAGAAAATCGGAACCCTAAACCCATTTCCGCACAAATCAGACCCAATCTAAAGTCACACTAAAAATCAGAGGAGCAATCAGGCCTATTTCAAGGCTTACCTCTTGATCTGGTGATGGGCAATCGGAGGAGGAGATGGGATACCGGCAAACCGACTTTCAACAATTGGAGGAGATGCTCAATCGTTTTCTTTGATTGCAAAATATCAGAACCCTAAAACCCAAAATACATGCGGAATAAAAATCAAAACGAAATCCAAATGTTCAAACTAAAAATAATTTCGCACGGTTAGAGAGGCTTACCTCTTGATTTGATGATGAGAGACGGGCAGTCGGAGGAGGAGATGGGCGACCTGCAAATGGACAATCACGAGGAGGAGAAACCAAACGAGCTCCGACAAGCCAACGGAGAGAGACCGGCGAACGGAGAGAGATACCAAAATCTCAAACGGAGAAGAGGAGAGAGGATAGAACGGTCAAATTTATTTTTTGCAGAGGACGAGAGAGATTTCGGAAAGGAGGTGAGCAGAGGAGTCGAGGAGATGAAAATGAAAATGTGTTTCTGATGTGGTAAATTTTAGCTTTCATTGAGGGTAAAATTGGAAATAAAAAATTTCATTAAAACCTCAAAATAAATTCCCGCATAATCTCACATCAGAATCAGCCTTAAGGCTGATTCTGCTTTTAACTTCAGATTGGAAGAAAATTATTCAACAATATGTTTTACCAAACAACATTTTAGATTTTAGATGTGTGGAAAAGTGCTTTATCTCGCCGAGAATCAATACCAAACACACTCTACATGTTATTATAAAAGACAGTAACGTGTTATGAATAAAAAATAATAAAATGTAATAATCGTTTATTTTAGTACATGTTTTGTTTTGTTTTTTTGTTTTTTTTATAAGATTTTAAGTAAATATTTTGCTTTATTAAAAAAATAAAAAGAGTAAATACTTTACTTTAATATTAGCGGAAAAGACCAGATATATCACTTAAGATGGTAATTTTTTTTTTTTAATTATATCACTTCATTAAAAAATAAACAATTCCCACCAATTATAATAGAAAATAAAAGTACTGTTATATCCGTTTTTGGCAATTTACTAGATGTAATTAAAGTCCAACTAAATAAATTACAGAAAGTAGTAAATAAATAGGCACATGGAATTGATATCGTGGTTCGGTAACCACCTACATTCTCGGGGTCATGCCCAGACATTCAGGCCCCGTTCACTTTGCTGATTTGAGTTTAGAATTCGAGTTTTTCTACAGTAAAAAGCTCTCACAAACAATCACATCTAACTTTTTGCCTACAGTAAAAAGCTCTCACTATAAAAAGCTCTCACAAACAATCACATCTAACTTTTTTGCTACAGTAAAAAGCTCTCACATAAAATAATATCTCAACTCGAATTCTAAACTCGAATCAGCGAAGTGAACGGGGCCTCAGAATCATCTACTAATTCTCAACGATTACAAACACCAATCAGATTTATATAATTAAAGACTCCCTCTTTGAATTTGTCATCGCCATATAGAATCAACTAGATAGCCTGATTCAGCGAGCACCACTCGTCTTCAAAACTGCATGGTGAAATCCCTTTGTTAGGCACGTCACTCTCTTCCGAAAGCTTCAAATTCTTCTCCCAAAGAACGATAAATGGTTGAACTCCCTTTAACATTACAAACTTCTTCTTCCGAAGACTACTACTTTTTTCTTCCAAAGAATGATAAATGGTTGAACTCCCTTCAACACTGCAAACGTCTTCTTCCGAAGACTACTAGTTCTTCTCCTGAAGAATGATAATGAGAACTTCTCAAAACATTATACGTGAAACCCAGAAAGTCCACGTAATGAATGGTCTTGAGTCCTATTTATAGAGTAGTAGACATTTATTTCCAAACTTACTTAAAATTCAAACTGTCGCATAATTTGTTCCATGACTTGTTGCAACATTATTTGATCTTGAATTTAATATCCGAACTCAGTATCGTGCCCTATTTTCTCTGCTCTATCACCATACAATCTTTATCCAATATACGTTTGGAAAGGCTTTAAAATATATCTCAATTTATTCAAGCCTTATCATTACCGAATTTTGACTTAATCAAATCATCTAGTGAATTACATATATCAAACTAAATCCGAATTTGCACTTGGACTTGTACACCACTCTTTTATCTTCATTGCAATTCAAATATTAAACATCCCGTTTTTTAAATTCAAATCCAAGACATATCTTCTACTGCAATCTTATCATGACTTATCAAAATTGCTCAATTCGAAACTAACTGCAACTTGAATTCAAACCCATAAAAGTAAATAGTTTGACTTTTAAATCACGGCTGCTATATCTATTTTGCTGGAACTTCATCATTATCTTCAAATTTGCAACACGATCAAGTCTGCATCAATTTTTTCTTCACCTGTTTTTTGAATTTCTCCAGTTTGTAAAAATTTTTATACGACGATGACACTCAATTGAAAATGACATAAATAATAAGATTGTACAAAATCATCGCACTAACTATTTAATGACCGGAAAAATCTTGATGTTAATTAGTGTAATTTATGTAATTAAATCATGGAGTTCCTGGATAATGACATGTTTTGTAATGAAGGATTTATGGAATTAATAATATTATTCCAAAATTCTATATAAAAATTTTATGTCAAAAATTTTTATGTTATGACTCGACTGATAATCTTCACCGCAGTTTAAGACGGGAGAAATTTTTGATTCAATTATGACTCGTGATTCTGCTCATAAGAATTCCCGATTATTGTACAATGTTAGCAATACTCTGAGAAGCACTCTAACATTTAAATGTATGTAGTATGGTTTTAAGAAAACTCAGACTTCACTTATAATTTAAAAATTAATGTATGATTTAAAAAAAAATCTGCAAATTTCACCTTAATTAATTGAAGTATTTTAAGCGAGTTTCATGATAATAAGTTTAAGAGATGGCTTCCTAAATTGGATCTTCACAAACTACCAAGATGCAAGCTGAATGCGCATGTGAATATATAAAAAGACAAATTATTTGGCGCTTTTTAATCGTGGTTGTTAGGGAAATTTCAATTTGTTTACACTTTCAAAAAAAAAAAAAAACCCAATTTGTTTAGGGTAATTTCTTCACGAATACTATTTTAGTAGAGCAAGGAATTTGTCACTCAAATGAGAAGTTCGAATTTTACAATTCTAGAGAATTGGTCAATAGTCAACAAAATGTGTTTTGCAACATGACCATTCATCATCGGTGTTGGATGCCGGAATAATCTACTAGGTGATCGGTAATTTACTAGAATATGTTTGCTACATTTGACTATCGATCACCACCAGCGTCCATCAAAGAAGTATTCTACTAGATTACTGTATGTTATCTACCAAATTATGTTTCCTTTTTTTAATCATGAATCACCGATGGTCGCTGACGATCGATCACAGGTGCTAATCGCTAGAGTAATCTAGTAGATTATCACTAAATAGTAGCTACCAAATTATGTATTTTTTCTTAAATACAGATTACATTTCGTCTTTAGCGTCGACTGTCGAGGTAATCTAACTGAGTATCAGTAATCAACAAAATTAACTTGCGGAATCAAACAAAATAAAAAATAAAAAACTCACCAAATTATAAAATTAAATCATCAATTTACAAAAAATGACCAAAATAACAAGATTAGAATAAACAAGATTCAAAAGTTAAACAAAAAGCTTAAGATATATCATTTTCTAAAGAGAAAGAAAAGATTAAAAATAGCAAAAACTACACGAGAAAAGTCTGAGATCTGAGACTTGCGGCGTGATGTCTCCCAGGCGACATTCCTCGAGACCTTGTAATCATCTTGCTCTCGTTATATCACAACATGACCATTTCCTCAACAGCAACAATCATAAAAGAAAGGAAAAAAAAAGAGGTCCTCTGGAATCTGGTTCACCGGCTTTAGTATTTAGCAAGCAAGTCTTTAACTTTTCAGGACCCTGTACAGGGAATCCGTGAATTCGATTAATCCGTCAAATCCAATTTAATCCAGCAAATTGGATTGGATAGAGAGAGATTTTGGATTGGTTAATTCTCAATTTACAAAATCTGTAAATCGAATGATGTATTATATATATATATATATATATATATTTCAAGTTAAGTTTTATTTTTTACTTTTAAAAATCTATGTATATATGTAAAAGATCTCTGTATACTTTAAAGTAACAAATTTCTTTTAAAGTTTTACTGAATCTAGCTTGTTATTGTTAATTGGGTTGTTAGAATTTGTTGAACTAGTTTATGTCATGCTATATCTATTTGGGTCATGGATGTTGTAAATTTTGGGGGTTGTTCTTTTAGAGTGTAATTTGAGTGTAGTTTTTGAGTTGAATTTGAGTTATAACTTGAGTTGAAGTTGTAACTTGAATAAAGTTGAGTAAAGTTAAATAAAGTTGAAACTTAAAAGAACGTGAACTTGAATAAAGTTGGAACTCGAGTTATCTTTTTTTGAGTTTTTTAGATAAAAGAACATGCCCTTGAACTTTAAAGTAATATTAATAAATGCTGGAGACTTCATTTTATATTTTATTTTGCATGGATGTTTAAAAACAGATTGACTTTAAAGTTTAATCTATGAAATCCGTGAATTTAATATGCAAAATCAAATAGGTTTTAGTTTGGATTGGAAAAGGTTTTGAACTGAACACGGATTATGGTTTTTCCAATCTGATAGTTTTAGATTGAATTGCATATTGACCGATAATTCACAGATTCCAATCCGTGAAAATTCTATTTTCAGCGTTTTCTAAAATCCTGCAATTAAAGTCCAAAGCATTCATGTTAATAGCATCAATAACACATAATTACACTTCACATCTCCAAGCGTAATTACACTTCACATCTCCAAGCATTATTCTTAGTGCTTTCCCTTTTTCTCATAAATAGTTGTTATCCTCTGATTTGAATCATTTTGTATCAACATATAAATTTTGGCAAATTAGTTCACAAACGTTTTGTTTTTTGTTTTTTTGTTTTTTTGTTTTTGCTGTGTTGATCCCCAATAATGAAATTGACGAAGTACTTTTAGAATATCATAAAGAGAATCATGTTCCAATCGCATAACAACTAAAATTTACACCGTAATAGTTACATTAATTAATGCAAAATATTCTTTTCACTCCCCTTAAACATTAGAACATTTTTCAATTAAGGTGATTATTTTCATAAAAAATTCAGTTTTTATGCGATTGGGAGATGATTATCTCTAAAAAAATTTCAGAAGTCATTCTTCAATTTTAATTTCAGGGTATAAAAATACTAAAAAATTCAAAATTCAGAGATCCAAGTGATACAATGCTCACAAGTGAAACATTAAATTTTAAGTTTAAATGCATAAAAATTTAAGTAAATATAAAGTGTGAAGAACCGATTGAGTGTATGAACGTAACGTTAGACTGAAACTCAGATTCTGCCAATTGCCACGTGGTTTAAAGTGGCTACATCAGCCAAACCCTCATTTGGAAACTATGGATTCAATTCAAATGCACAATCCTCTTATCTCATTTGGAAACTATGGATTCAATTCAAATGCACAATCCTCTTACTTGAAATCCCATTTCATTTCCAGATTTTCCATACCAAAATTGGAGACAATATAAAGCAATAGCTCTACCACATGTACTATGAATGATATCCTCATCCCTAGATAAATACGTTCGTGCTATATATATATATTTAGGACAATATCTAGTTTGTCACACAATACATGCCATTTCCAACGTCTTCAATTGAGGGAAAAATAAAAAAGTATGGCAATTGTTGGCGTCCGTACCTTGGCCATGGCAATTTTTGTGATCACCGGAACTCTGATGGTTGGTAATTACCACAGTGTCTCTGCCGAATCATGCAAAATAGATGTTCCAGGTCTTGTGTTACAATGTTCCAAATATGTCTCCAAATCGGGCCCGAAGATTCCTCCGTCGCTGGGATGTTGCTCGGTGGTTAAGACCATAAATGTGCCCTGCGCTTGCAATCTTTTAACTAAGGATGTTGAGAAGATGGTTGATATGGAGAAGGCAGTCTATGTTGTTAGAACTTGTGGACTTGATGTTCCCAAAGGAATGAAATGTGGAAGTAAGAATTTCCATCTCAATTGCATTTTTGTTTTTTTTGATATCCAAAAGTCTAGTATAAAAAATTTGGTACTAACTATGGTCGTTGATTTACTTCTTTTACTACAGGTTATACCGTTCCAGATGCTCGGAAAGAGATTGTTGCATAAGAGATCTTAGTCTTTTAATTTCCCATTCTCTTTATGGAGATGTATGCTTGTATATATGAATAAAGGGAAATTTTGGAAAGATCTTTCAAATATATATGCTACTTTCGCTTTAATTAATGTTGCGGAAAATCGCAAAGCAATTGTATATTATCGTTCACGAGTAATAAAGTGATAAATAGAGTGTTGATTCTACGAAGATTGCGTTAATTCAATTAATTATTGAAATTGGTTAATCCTAAAAATTATTCAAACGACCGAAATTGAGATGAAAATAATAAAATAAAAAGTAACATAAATAAAACAAATAACCTAAAATATCCAGACCTACGACTCACTAAAATTAATCATATATGAAAATCTCTATTTAAATTAATTATGTATATTCCTAATGCTAACAATGAACACTACAACAAAAAGGGTTATTAACGACGACATTTATCGTTGCTAAAATTACAGTATTAGCGACGACATGAAAAGAAAACAAAATTTTTGAACGACTTGTCGTTGCATTAAGTATTTGCGATGACATGTTGTAACGCCCCTATCGCTAAACCGGTCTAAGGCCGAATTTAGCGAGGTGATGCTACTTAAAACATACTTTCTATACTTAAAACAATGTCATTTATAAGATGCGGAAACTTGTGGTTGATTTCATCACAAAATTTTTTAAAAGTTTTTGAACAAAATGAGTCAGTGCATAAAATGATTACAACCACAAATCTTAGACATTAAACAGTTATTCAAGCAATAACAAAAAAAAAACATTTTGAGCCCATCCATTGTTTGGAAGTACATATAAGCAAGATGCCAGATGTAGGACTTGGAGTACTCAGCCAACCTTGGAAATCTTTTTTTTTTTTTTTACTCTTCGGTAACAACAACATCATCTGCATCACAAGGTAAAACTAATGAGCAAAAACTCAGTAAGTAGATATCAAATAAAGTAAATATCTAAAATCTCCATGGCTAAAATCTCTTTGTTAAACATTGTTCATAAACTTTCATACTTATTCTTAGTTTAGGTATGATACAGAAATTCGGTTCCAAGTAAGCCTCTCTATACAGGACCTTCTCTAGTTTTGGTCAATTCTCTTCTCTTAAACACTAAGCGGGGTTTTTAGAATCTCTTTCTCTTGTGATCAACAAGAAACTTCCCACTAGCATTTTTCTCTAGTTGTCTCAAAGAGACA